GCCAATCAAGCACAAAGCCCAAAGTGAAGAAATTTACACCAACTCTTCAAAACACCAAAATCGAGTAAATCTATGCCAATGCTTTGCGAAAACATGAAAAACATGTCAACGACCCCCATCTTTACCGAATTCAACTGTTGATTAGATGTTGCTCAAATCATCATACATAATCAAAGAGAGTCAATTTCCGTATACTTTTTATTACAAAATTTATTGTAGATTTTGTCTCCATGATATGAATTAATTCAATACTCGAAATTTGTATTAATGAATTACCAATTACGTACTCCAATGCTATTAAATTTGTATTAATAGATGGCTAGTTATTGCTTCAAAGTATGGTCAAGCCCGCCCATCTTTTTCTTTTTAAAGCTCTTAGGCTAAACTCAATCAACTTCAAGTTACAAATCACACCCCAAAAGATATGTGATGAAAGATGGGAGTGTACCAAGAAATTGTTCAAGTACATGAGATAGCAAATTTCGCCAAACGGTTTGCAACGTTGTTGCAATTTCTTGGATTGTAACTAAAAACATAATTATGTAACTAATGGGATAGCCTCTTGAGTTTTGCAACCACAAGCCTAAGTCGCTAAGGCGGTTCGCTGTTCTCCACCAACAAGAGGTCAACAAATAGGTTTAGCATCACTTTCAATACTTATGTCAAAGAGGTTCATAGAGAGAGAGAGGGAGAGAGCGTGCCATTTTAAGCCTTCCAGGATTGCTTAGGTTTTAGCAATTGGTGTTAGGCATCGATCCAAGGGAACTGCTCTAGAAAAGATATAGGTACCCCATTCATCTCTAATGACAATGCCTGCTCTAGATTGAGGTTGGGCCACAACACCACCAACGTTGATTTTGATAGACTTCGAGGGAGGTTTTTTTGCCATCTATAAATTTCCCTTAGTAGATGGTGTGTACCATGGAGTGGTTGTTGGACTCTCTGGTTCCCACTTGCAACTTCTGAGTGCTTTTAATCAACACAATTCTGCCCACTTGATATAAGAGCTTCCCTTTCTAAGATGCAAGTTTATTTCTTACCTTCTCTAGGACCTAATTCCATTCACCAATGAAAATTTTCTTTATGAATAATGGGTTACCTAAGTATATCTCACTAATATTATTATGGATATATTTTATAGGTTGAAAAACAAGTTGTCAGCATTCGATTTTGCTCGATTCATTGCCTGAACCCCCAATTTTCCCTGAGCATTTGATAAAACCCTTAAGATCACTCTGAAATTCAAAAAGACCTAAAAAAACCCGAATTTCAGCCCAAAAGCCCTAAGATCAACCATTAAACTTGCTCAATATATATCCGATGGCCTCGACTCCACTTACACCTTAACCATTCGATCAGACACAACCATCAAGCCCAGGACCTCCCAAAACACATACCCATGAAATTTGAACTCAAGATTCCTCTATTTACCTTTTTATCAAGCCAATATTCCCTTTTAAGCTCTCCTATTATCCTAAAGCACCCACAACCTAGATCCCTTTGATTCAAACACATTCGAACTCATCAAACCACACCATTAAACTTCAAATACATCAAAACGCCTGGCCATAAAGTTTAAAAGTCAGATTCCCCTAGTTGCCTTTTCATCAAACAAAGATTCTATTTTGGAACATCCTATTGACCCAAATTTGTACGATCTTGACCCCCCTGAACCGATCATACACCATCATTAGACTTCGGGCACACCAAAACACTTGCCCATAAAAATTTCAATCCAAAGTTCCCCAATTTACCCTCTCATCAAATAAAGGTTCCATTTCGACCCCTATTGCACTAGCAATCCATGTTCACTTGATCCAAACACATCTAAACCAATCTGACCTTGCTAATCACCGCAGAATTCTAGAAAACCCCTACATATGAATTTTCAGCCCAAAACACCTCCATTTACCCTCGATCATATGAAGATTCTGTTTCAAAACTCCAGATTAACCAAATTAGGCCCTTTCTAAATCTGCCTTATCCAGGCCCAGTTAGTCCAATCCAACCTTACCAATCAACTCATAATGTCCAAAAACTCCCCCATGGAAAATTTTAGCCAAAAATATCCTCATTTACCCTTCCATATAAAAAGATTCCATTTTTGTCCATCTTGCTAGCACACACATATGAAACCCTTCTTAGCGATTAAACCCATTTCAACCCTCCACGTTTTGAACCAAACCCCTTCATTGAACTAGAGCATCGGTTTGACCCCCTGGACCCAGTTTGGCCTAATCTTTCAAAAGTTACCGAAAACCACCCTTGGGTTTTCCAAAAATTACGAAACTGCCATTTATCCAATACTTAAGCTTGATTTTTTTTCCCATTCAAAACTTATTTATTAAAATTCATGGGTGGGTTTTGATTGGTTAAAAGTCTAAGCTTTCCATATCTATCTTTTCCGCATCATAGATTTTAATTTATTCCCAATACTGACTTGTTTGTACTTTATTAGATGTTACGATATGCGACTAGGGTCAATGAATTTTTTTTTTTTCAACAATAAAATTGGAGAGGCCATTTTTCTCATTTATGAGTATCTTTTTAACTTGGCTTGTATATGCCCAACAGTTAAACTGTTCTATCTAGGGAGCAAGAAAGAAATCTAACGAGGTGGAGAGAGAGAAAACCATCCCCTACTTGCTCCTTTTGCTATTTTCTTCATCTTCACCGTCGTCATCGTCTTCACCATCATCATCGTCTTCTTTTCTAACTGCCCTTCTCATTCTCTACTAATTATTATCTTCTTTATTATATACAATTGTTGGAAATATTGACGCTAGGGGAATTGATGTCACACAAGGTGTATGATGTCATAAGGGGAGTGTTAGAAGTTTTAATTGTTGTAAGTGTATGGTAAAATAAAAATCTGTAGGGTGGGTTTGAATGAAATTTCCTCTTTATTATAACTATCAAGTAAGCCTATACAGTGCATGGGGTTAAATAAAAATTTGATTAGATTTGGGTTCATGGATGCAAATCAGGGTTGTCCAATTCAAATAATTTCAACTATATTAGGCTTGGATTCGTAGGATTCATATGTTCATCATAAATTTGATAAACTCCTAACCCAAACCAAAGTTGAAATCATATTTGGGCTTCATGTAAGCGTGCCCAATTCAAAATAATTTAACTATATTGGGCTTGGATTAGAGTCCAAGTTCATTGAAAATTTGTCAAACTCTTAACCCAGGCCAGCCCAAGTTACAATCATATTTGGGTTTTAAGATCAGTTTAGGTCCAAGATAGAGTCCATGTTTAGGGTTGGTATTGGTTTGGCCCTTAACCTAACCCAATCTATTAATTTTGTACCCTTTATTAAAGAGGGCCAAAATGATTTAATGGGAGAGTTTTAATAATCTTATTAGAGATTAATGATAAATTTTAATAGAGACAATTAGAACCTATGAGAGATTTAATTTAGACTTATTGTGTTTTTAATAATTTAATTTAAAAACAAACAGCCACATGCTGAGAAATGAGGGGAGGAGGCCCGTTGAGCTTTTTTGGTGAGAGGACCCCTCACCTCCCATCTTTCCACTTTGATATGACTTATATACATTATACCCTTTAACCTAACATAACCTAATATTCTAATCTAATGGTTAGGATGCATTATACAATTGTGAATTGAGCCCAAATTTTAACCTATTTGACCCGAACAGTTGAATCACAAACTTGGGAACTGGAAGAAAAGTGATTTTGTTTATCGGCCATTTTTAAAACAGTGGTGTAAAATGACATGGCAAACCCAAAAACAATGATTTCTTCCCATCCTAAAGAAGCAAATATAGTACAAATACAGGATCAACAAGCATAGCATGTCATATGTAGAGGTGTCAATTGGACTGGGTTTGGTCCAATTCAATCCAGTCCAATGTGAGTCCATTATAAATGGATTAGGTCCAATTCAATCCAATGAATATTCTGGACCATTTTGGACCGGTCCAAGTCAATGTCTGGACCATCCAATCTATTTAAATTCATTTTGGTTTAGATTGGTTTCAACCCAAACCCGGTCCATTGACACTTATATTCTTATCTTATAGCAATGGACTAGACATTGGCTTAATCTAACCCAATCCAATCTAAATTTATTACGGATGGACCAGGTCCAATCCAATCTAATAAATATTTTGAACAGGATTGATCCAATTCAGTATGTCTTATTGGTCCGTCTAATCCATCCAATTTGATTTTGGATTGGACGGGTCCAACCCAATACCGGTCTATTAACACCCTTAGTCATATGGACCACAATGATAAAGAACACAGAATTATGCCATGTTTGATGATTAAGTACTTGTTAAAAGAAGTACTTGTGAAGTACTATTTTAACAACCCTTTAGGCTGTTTGGTAACCCATTTTTCAAATCACTTACTATATTTTTAAGTACTTATTGGGGTGAAAATGCTTATATTCATACAAATGACAAATTTAGCCTTTACTTCACTCATAGGTATATACAATACTTTTCACATGTTATACAATACTTTTCAATTGAGAGCCCACATGGACCCCATGTATAACCTATTGTCACAGGTAGTCGTTCGAACAGTTCAAGTGTTCTTTGGCAAACATTTGATTCGCCCACGGACACTCTCCTACCAGGCCAAGTTTTGGTTGTAGGCAGAAAGCTATATTCGAATGCAAATGGGACTGCCGACTACTCAACCGGAAACTTCATGTTGGAGATGCAGAACGAAAGTAATTTGGCGCTCTTTGCTTATCATTTCGCAGATCTGGTTACTGGGTCTCAAACACAATAAACATTAATAATGTAAGCCTGGTTTTCAACCGGACGAATGCATTCATGTACCACAAAAATACCACAGACATCATCCTCCCATTAACGGAGGATGTGCCAAAGCCCACCGAGGACTACTACCACATAGTGACGTTGAACGGCCATGGAAATTTGCAGCAACATGTGTACCAGAAGAAGAACAACAGTCAATAGAAAATGGTGTTGAGAGTAATAACCGAGCCCTGCACGATGAATGCTATTTGTGGGGTGTACGGGATTTGCTCTTCACCAGATAATGAGACAGTCAGCTGTGACTGCCTCCCGGGTTACCGCCCCTTAGATCCCAATAACATTGCTAATGGATGCTACCCAAAGGTCAAGTCGGATCGTTGTATAGAGAAGCCATCGTTGACGAATTTCACGGTGGAAGTGATTGATGATGCAGATTTTCCTAATGCCGGTTTTGCAGATTTGGGAAGAGTAACACCAACAGACGAGGAGGGCTGCAAGAAGGCACTCATGGATGACTGTTATTGCATGGTTGCTTCATTCGTCAATTCAACTTGTTATAAGAAGAGGATGCCAGTTCTGAATGCTAGAATTATCCGCAATTCCACAAATGGGTATAAGGCGTTAATCAAAGTGCCGAAATATATTAGTGATGGAGGAGGCATTCTGGATGGTGATCATGGCAGAAAGAAGTCTGTAAGTCGGGGTCTACTGAAAACTGGTCTTTTCACAAGTGCGGCGTTTGCTCTGTTGTTCGCAGCTCTTGCCGTCTACTATCACCCTGTAGTTGGACGACTCATCAGACGATCCAGAAGGCTCTCTGCAGATGTGGACGCTATGTTGATTAACCTGAGAGCTTTTACATTTAAGGAGCTGCATGAAGCAACATGTGGGTTCACAACAAGACTAGGTCGAGGATCATTTGGGATGGTTTACAGCGGGACCCTGATCATAGAGGATAAACAGATTGAGATTGCTGTGAAGGCTCTGGAGAAGATAGCTGCTGCTGAACAAGGCGAGAAGGAGTTTGAGGCGGAGCTGACGACTATTGGTTGAACACATCACAGGAATTTGGTTTACATGTCCTGCAATGAGGACAAGCATCGGATTTTGGTTTACAAGCTAATGAAGAATGGAACTCTCTCTGGTTTGCTCTTCAAGCAAGGGGAGAAACCGAGTTGGGAGCACAGAATGGAGTGTATAGAGGAAAGAGGCCAAACGGCAGGTCCGCTGGCCAAGGTTCCTCACTGTAGATCGCTGCCGGTGGATCTGCAACTGGTGCGCGTTAGGGTTTGAGGGTCGAATGAGTGGAGAAGGGGGAGGTATAACCTCATGGGGGTATTTTAGTCATTATAAAAATTTGTCAAGGACTGGTTCGTCCTATTATTTTGGAGAAGTACTTCTTCAAGAAGTAATTAAAAAAAACCAACTTAAAGTTACTTTTTCAAAGAAGTACTTCTTCACCACTTTTTTATCAAACACTCACAAGCACTTAAAAACCACTTAATATGTGATCCCATGTCTTAAAAGAAATACTTTTTTAAGTGTTCTTGTATGCACCAAATGTATTCACATTGGGGCATTCAGTATCATATGGACCACAATGATAAATAACACATAGAATTGCTACTGTATCTACAGTATTTTCTATATATAAATATCACATTATGGGCCTAGATGCAAGTATGGATTTTTTCCTTCTTTTTTTATAGGATTGGATGCCTATTCAAGGATTTAAATGAATTAAAGCAGATTTAGTATTCATCCAAATAAGAAAGGTCCCCAAACACCACAGCAATACAATCCAATGAGTTCATGCTATAAAGACATAATAGACTTCTGCCAATCAGAACCCTTTGTTAACACAGTCCTACCCATATATACAATATGATGTAGCAATTTAGGGGTGTCAATTGGACTGAATTTGGTCCAATTCGATCCAGTCCAATGTTCCATTACAAATGGATTCAGTCTAATAAATTCAATGAATATTTTAGACCATTTTAGATCGGTTTAATTCAATGTCTGAATCTTTCAATTTGTTCAGATTTATTTTAATTTAGATTAATCATAACCTAAACTTTGGTCCAGTGACACCTATATTCTTATCTTTTATCAATGGATCAGATATTGGTTCAATTCAATTCAATCCAATAAATATTTTGGACCATTAAATTCGGACTGGTCCAATTCAATATGTCTTGTTGGTCAGTTCAATCCGTCCAAATTGAATTTGGTTTAGACGGGTCCAATCCAAAACCAGTCCATTGACACCCATATATAATACACGTTGTGGACCGAGCCTGTATATTTGGGTTCAAGCCCACCTAAAAATTACTTGTCCTGAACACAAAATCCACTAATCCAGGGCCGGAATATTCCAGGCCGGGCCGGGCTAGAAATTATAACCCCTTCACCAATCAAAACGCGATCCATGACATCCCCGCTAAAGATGATGCGAATTCTCGTTTTCTTTCCCACCCTGGTCGTCGTCTGTATATTAAAGCTGATTCCCACACTAGGCCATGCTTGATTTGATAGAAAATAAGAGAAGAACAGAAAGTTGTGGTGAAAAACCTCTTAACAAATTAAGTGAAATTCCTTAACAATTTTATTTTCAACTTTCTGTTTTTCTCTTATTTTCTCCGGAATCAAATACAGCTTTAACGTAGTAAAGTGGGAATTTCTTTTACAGCAAGCAACCCGGCGGTGACGAATTTCCAACAGTGTGATTGATCTCTACCTGCAAATGAGAAATGATAGAAGGATCTAGACAAAATAAACGATTATTACATGGACGCATGGACGGAACAACCTCTTCTTCATTTCTGGATCATGTTCTTTTGTCCTACACAACAAATACGAGAGGCCCTTAACACTCTAGCGACGGGCTAGACGGCGATGAGCATTGAGCAACGTTTTCTGATTTTTGCGTTCCTAGAGCCCGAGAAGTCTGAGTTCGGATCTGCTCCTCACAGAATGTATTAATAGCACATCGGGAATATCTCCCATACTTGTTTTTGTTAATAATATTCATGAGAGATGTTTCTATTACACGGTGGGATGTGACTGTAAGGTCGATGCCGGTAGTACTCTGACGTTACTGCATATTTTCATACCTGGTTTATTTCTTACGTAAATTGACTTAAGAGAGAACCATTCATTATCCTCAGGTTAAACTGAGATAAGATGTAGAAGTTAATTAATTAACTCTATTTTCAAACGAGGAAGTTGTATTGGAACACAAAATACAACCAACAACATAACTAAAATACTTAGTTTCGTTTCTCCAAGTTAATTATATTAACCAGATCATGCATTATTCTCTACTTGGGTTCGTTTCTTCCACAGCTTATTCATTTATAAATTCATCTACTATCTGAGACTGAGAGTGGTGGAGATTGGAGAAGAACCAAACAGTAGTATATATACGAACGTAGGTGCTTAATCAGTAACACAACGTAACTCTTTAATAAGGTAATTCCCCTACGACGTTGCCTGCGGGGTCGTAGTTGCAAATAACGAAGGTCCCTCCGTTGTTGCACTGCACTTTAGCGCACCCAACACGAAACGATTTTCTCCAGACCACCTGCGTGTAGTGACGGCACTCCTGTTCACCGATGCAACTGTTGGAGTTGTGGTCGTAGTATTGTTTCTCTCCGACCCATAGGTTCACAGCATCTGTCGCCGACAGGGAACCAGTGCTTCCGGCGAGGTTCTCCCCATAGGGTTCACCGGAATGCACCCGAGTGCAGTCGTCGGCTCTCTTGTTGGCGTAGCTTTGGGCATAGGCTGCCACTAGACCTGTTCATGGGTCGGGTAGCCCGACGGCCCGGCCCGCACCCCGGCCGGGCTTGGTTATATAATTAGGCCCGCGGGCCTGACCTCGGGCTTAACACAGTAAGCCCGACTGTATTTCGGGCCGGGCTCGGGATTTGTCAAAAAAGCCCGGCCCGGCCCAACTCAGTATTATATATTTTATAAAATATATAATATGTATTTTATATATTATATAAAATATATAAATAATATAATATTTATTAAAATATATATTTATAATTTAATATATATATATATATTTTATTCTTTNATCTATCTCTCTCTTTATTCAGCTGCTTCAACATTAATAATAATAATAATATAGGCTAAATTTCGGGCCCGGGCACAGGCTCGGGCTTCGGGCTTTTTATGAGGGCCGGGCTCGGGCCCAAATTGTAGGCCCGATGGTCGGGCCAGGCTCGGGCTCGAGCCTTAAAAAAATTTGTTAATACACAGTAAAAGCCTGACCCAGCCCAGCCCATAAACAGGTTTAGCTGCCACCGTGTCGTCCCAGGTCAATGCATCCACGCCCACCTCTGCCCGAGCAGCGTTGTGGGCGTCCAGGTAATTCTGGTGGGAATCTTGGGCTCTGGATACATGGACTAGGCCTATGCCCATGATCAGAAAGAACAGAAAGATTCCAAGCCTACAGAATGCCATCCTCGCTATGGCGGCAGCTATGATATCTGTTACTCTTGACACTATTTCAGAACCTCAGCTAATTGATACAAAAGATGTTGCAAATGGTTAGGGGTATTTTTAGCCCAAGAATAAGGCCAGAAACACAACAAAATATTAACTCCATCGATGCAGAAATTTCAAATTCGTGTAAGACTGCAATGTGGATGAAGTCTCCTTTTATTTTCATTTTCTTTTTTCTTCGGGTAAGACTTGTTTTTTCATACAACTTTCTACGAGTTCGTCCAAGTCTTACCAATCACCATGCAGTAAGTTGATTTTTCTAGGTTATACGATTATACCTACGGGGCTTCCAACGGCCCGGACTATCAGTTAAACTGTTAGGTAAACACTAACTATTAGGGATTGGGAGGGAATGGCCATGAGAATACCATTTCAGCAGGAATGGAAATGGCATTCTGATTCCGCCCAACCAAACAGTTAGAATTGGAATAGGCATTTTCACTAACTAAATGGGGCCTTCATTTGAGTTTATTATATTTGGTAGATCTAGGGCCATTTGTAAGGATGACATTTTTTTTTTCTATTTTCTCAATCTCCAAAGAGATCTGCCTTAACTAGTGTGGAGATGATTTTTCCCCACATGGAGATGGAATGGGATGGGGAAATTTTCATCTCCATTCATGGGGACAGAAAACAGCACTCCCCGATTCCCCACCACCCTGCGGGCCCTTAATCCTGCTCAATGGAGATCCCCACTTATATATGTATCTATCTATTAATAATTTTATATGGTTGAATAATTTGAATATATTTAGATATTTTTAATAATATTGTAAAGTTGTAACTATTTTATTTTTTAATTTTTAAATGAAATAAAAACAAAAACAAAATAATTGACAATATAGCATTATACAAAATCATGGGAGTGGGGATCATGTGGGGACGGAAGGGGGATGTGGATAGGGATTTTCCGATTTTGGATTTTTGACCGAATTCACTTTTACAGCGAACCCGTGATTCACGGTCTTAGCCCTAAAATCACGTCGTAAGTCGTAACAGAAGAGGATTGATTTTGACCTAGATTGACTGTTGTGGCTTGTGAGTACTTTTCAATTGGATCTTTATATGATATTTCCAAGAAGTTGCAAGTTACCTCCCTCGCTGGTAAAGTCTTAAAGTCGTGCTTGATTGTATAGACAAAATAACAGTCTTGCAGTTGCAGACTCCACAGCATCTGGTTGGGAGCAGAACTGATTTTCTTCTCGAACCGGGTCTACCTTGATGTGGCCCGGGCCCCGGGCCCATCAATATATTACAAGTCTTTTTTTTTTAATTTCTTCATATATATTCCAAGTCTAGGTCCACGCGTATTAATAACAAGGCAACTTGGTACTTTTGTTTTTCATTCATCCATTTAGGTTGAATAACTTTATCTATTAAAAAAATTTCATAGGTGGTAGCGAGGAAGTACTAGATTAAAAACAAGTAAGAATATTCCAAATGATTAAAATGTTAATTTATATTTTGTACAACTGCCTAAAATGAAATGATTTCGTTATAGTTTCACATTTTAGCACACAAGAGCTGGTTCACCGTTTAAAAATGGATTCAGGCTTAGTTTGAAACAATGTTTTTAACCCGCTGTTGATTCGGTTGGTTGAACCATTCGAACTGTTATCCAATTAGAATTTTAGGTTCGGTTCAATCAAGATTTGTTAGACGGTAAAAAATTGTTGATTTGGTCAAGGACCGTTTGATCTAATTGGTTTAATCATTGATCGGATCGCAGGTTGTACATTCAATGCATGCAAACTTTTAGAGACCATAACTTTGGACTCTGGATCTCCTGTTCAAGATAATTCTGCCCACGCCTACCCACAATACACTACCCCCTCCCCCCCGCGCGCGCGAATCGAGAACATCTCCCACTGCATATTACTATACAGAGGATGAGATGTTCTCCGTGTATGACTGAGATAAACATGGACAAAGTTCTCGTGGGCAAGAGATCTGGACTTATAACTTTGCATTCCGATGTCCAATTGGAGTGGTTTTTTTGGGTAACTTTTTGTGAAAAAAAATCCTTTTGGCCTCAAATTGTAATTTTTAACATTTTTATAAATAAAAAATTAAAATTAAAATTTAAAAACATAAATAAATATAAAATAATACATATAATATATCTAAAACATATTTATACATTATTTATTGCTAAAATATATATTCACACACACACACACACACACACACACACACACATATATATATATATATATATATATATATATATATATATATATTGGTCTGAACCGTTCGACCTAGTCAATCGAACCAATGATCTGTGACCTAGAGGCAAAAACGATTCAGCCTCCGGGTTGATTTTTAAAACATTGGTTTGAAAGGAATACATGCAAATTAAAATCTTATATTTTGTATATATTTGTACCGTAGGTATTTGTATTTATACTCTTTCCAAATTGAGTCTTAATGTGGAAAGAGTACAAATATAAATATCTACAAACATAAATGCAAAGTTTAGAAATACTATCTACAAAATTTGGATTGTATATATCTATATTTACTCTCTGTCCAAAGTGAGCCTTAACGTTCGATGCAACCATTTTGAGTTTTAAAAGAACTCATCTTCATATTCCTTTATAGCCTCAACCTCAAATGAAATGGTTAAATTTATTAACTGGTGCCAAACATGCTAATTGCTAAATCCATTAAAAAAAGGGATAAGGACATGTCTTTTGTTAGCAGAAGTCCGTCAGCCACAACTTCATTAGCACAAGTACGTCAAGATTTCTAGAATGGATATCTCACGCCATGTTAGCTGCCCTTCAATCCACACATTTTACACCATGTCAAATATAACCCTCAATGTTCATAGCATCCATCACAAATATAAAAATTTAGTGTTAAATTGTAGTTGAAATTGGAATCAAAATCTCTTAGAATTGTAATTGAAATGATCTATTCCTATAATCTATTTGGTTTAGACATGAATTAAAATAAATTGAAATGGAATTTCATTCTCAAGTGGAGGGAATGACCATTCCCTCAAATGGGAAATGCCATTCCAGCATAAATAGTAATGTGAATCGGCCTAATCAAATAGTTTGAATTGAAATTACCCATTCCGATTTTGATTCAAGACCCCTATTCTCGTGAACCATTGGACCCTTAAATAGTCCAATTGGGTGATTTAACAGAAGATATGTTAATAATATTATTCTCTTGAGGTTAAAACTAATTAATCTATGGTGATTTTTTTTCCTCATAAAGTAACAATTTAGTCATAGTTAAATTGGTAATAGGGCACCCCTTTCTATGAGAGGCACCGGTTGAGAGAGAGAGAGAGAGAGAGATTTGATACTAAAATATACCTTCACTATGACAATAGTTGTACTTAGCAAGGTGCCAACCAGTTAATTGGTAAGGTCTCTTGTTGGTCATAGGGGTGAGCAAGAAAAATCGAACAAAGAATCCGCTTAACCAAATTGGTTGGTTCAGTATTTTTAAAAAGCCAAAGGCATCGGTTTGATTTCAGTTAACTAATATAGAAAACTCACGGTTAACTGAACCGACCAACATACATATATATTTTTATATATTTTATATTTTCTATATTATAAATTAATAAATATGCATTATATATAAATATATATTTATAATATATTATATTATTTATTATTTAAAATATAATATTATATATATATATATTATGTTGTAAATATAAAAACCAAAAAATTGATGAACCAAACCGATGGTTAATTGAACCGATCGACTTTGGTTCGGTTTTGGTTATAATTGATAATACCGGTTCGGTTTCAAAAATAGGCCCACGGTTCGACTAACCAAACTGTGAACACCCTAGCCGGTCATAGTGGAGACTTGGAATCGAATCCCCTTGCACTTGGGTTGGGGGGCTTATGGGTTGAGGGATTGGCTGCCCCCATTGTGTAGCCCTTCAGGAAAAAAAAAAAAGAATAATGATAATGGGTCGTGTACTTGTGTTGTAGTTTGAAAGTGAGCAATAGATAAAAAAGAACAGATAAAAGGGAAGAGGAAGATCAACCGAGGTGAACGGACAAATAGAGCTGCTTTCGAAGACCTACAAAAAAGGTAGAGAGTCCTACGTAAGTCCTCAAAGGAGAACTTTATGATATTTAAGTCGATATATGAGATAAAAATCACTGGACTGAGAAGAAGTGGAGGGTCGGCGAGGAAGACAAGAAAGCAAAGAGGCTAGGGGGTGTAGTATTACACATACCTTTTTTTTTTTTTTCTGAGGATTCAATACGTATATATAGAGGTTGTGTTGTGCTTGCCAAGGAATCCTAATCCTAATCCTTCTAGGAGATGGCTATCTGGGCCGATTCAAGATTCTCATTTGTGTGTCCTTATTCAGCTACCTTTAGAGGTGTTAAACGGGTGGGTGGCCTGCGCAAAATGCAGGCCGTGCCATGCCTTGGGCGTGGGCTGAACTGGGCCAAATTGGTTTTATTACTTTTTTTTTGTTTTTTTTGTTTTTTTTTTTTATTTCTTTGCTAAGTAAAAGTGTAAAACTAAAATATTTAACTTTCCTTTGGGTTTTGGAAACTATTTGAAAAAATAAGAAATGTAAATTTTAACAAATAAATGAAAAAAATACTTAACCAAATAAGAATGGAAAAACAAATTGGAAGAAAAATAGCAATTTTATTTTATTTAAATTTAAATTATACAAATTACAAAGCATACAATGGTTGGATACTTGGACGAATGAAATATGAAAATTGGAAAATAGAATAAATTAGTAAATATAAAAAACACAATATAATTACAAATTGTAAATACAAAATTACATTGTAAAAAAAATCAAATAAATTAAATAAAATAAAAACAAAATTTACAATAATTTGAAAATTTGTTATACAACTATTGTTCATGAATCGTGACTTTCATCATCTGCTTCAAGTGAAATATCGGGTGCTGTGTCATGCCCTCCTTTGTCTTTAATCTATCTTTAGCATCCAATCAATCTTTAAAGTATATGCACATCTCTATACTTTCATCATTCATACAACTTTTCTTGTGGTCCAACACCCTAGTACTAGCACCAAAACAAGACTTCGATGGAACTGTAGACACCAGAAGGGTTACTAGATCACGTACCATGGTGGCGAGAACTAGATAATTTTTTGAGTGTTCACTCCACTAGAATAAAATATCAAAATTATTTGTTCCCTCACCTAAAGAATAAAATTTTGCTTGTAAATAAAAATTAAGTTCAATAAATGAACTTATTGTTTAGGTAGTAGATTTATGTGTACTACTTATTAAATAAAAAAGTTTTTTTGTTCTTCTAGTGGGCTCAAGTTCAAATTCAGAAATAGAAGATGCAACTGCACAACTTGTAGAATTATTTCCCGTTAACTTTAGATTCATATAAACTATACATTTCAAATAATACATTATTAATTTCTTATTTTTTATTTCCAATTTCAATATTCATATTTTCACAATATGTTTCAAGTAAAATATCTAAACCATTTTTCCTAATCCTAAGATCTAATATTGTAGCTAAGCAATAAAGAGGAGAAATGTTCTCCCAATATTTTTTAAATTTATTTTCCATTATTTCAACAATACTTTTAAATTATGAATTATTTCTATATTTTGCAAAATGATCACTAATCACCATTAATTGATAAGTTAAATGACAACTGGTTGGATAATAAATACCCGATAAATCATTAGTAGCATCATAAAAATGTTTTGAAAAATCTCTTATACAAATTGTCATTTCCCAGTCTTCCTCAAATATAATATCATGGGCATTTTTGCATTATAAAAATCACTAAAAAATTGTTTATGAGAAATACAACTTTCTAACATAGCATAGGTAGAATTCCATCTATGTTTAACATCTAATATAAAATGTTTATATTTTAAACCATAATTTTGACATAAATATTTAAATTCTTGTTTTCTTGCTCCAAAACTTTTAATATATATAATGCAATTTTTAATTTTAGAAATATGAGTTGAAATAATATTTAAAGCATCATGAATACATAAATTTAAGATGTAACATGCACATCTGATATGAAATAATTTACCATTTATTTCTTTAAATGGTATTTCTTTAAATACCATCTGATATGAAATAATAACATGCACATCTGATATGTGGGGGGTATTTCTTTAAAAAACCTCAGAAAAGCTGAAACTAGCCGTGTGGGGGGGGGGGGGGGGGGGGGGTCCCAACGACTAGTTTTCGCGCGGGTCGCACTACAGGCCCGTAGACTGTGTCGTGCCGGCCCGTGGGCCACGGGCGGACTCCGAACTCCTGGCCCAACATGGCCTACATGGTGATGCCGGGCCTGGCACGACCCACGTGTAGGGGTGTAAATAGTATTTGAAAATCCAATTTCGAATTTGAGATTCGGTATAATCAAATCAAATTCGAATAATTTGAATATCTAATCGGTCAAATTCAGATATCGTATTCATATCGAATAGTTAATCGGATTCGAATTCGGATATGACCTAATTCGATTCGGTAAATATCCGAATTTGACCGATTATTTAATTATTATATATAATAAATAAAATTGTTAAATGTTTTATATAACTTATATATATAATAATTAAATTATATAAATAATTTATATATTTTTTATACTTTATATTAATAAAATATTTATTTTATATATTTATTAATTACCTAAAATAATTAATTAGTCGAATTCGAATCAAATCGAATATTTAATCGGATTCATATTCGAATATTAATTTTCAATATTCTCGAATATCGAATTGAATTCGGTTATCGAATTTTCTAATCGGATTCAAATTCGGATATTGCCTGATCCGATTCGAATTCGATTTGTTTACACCCCTACCCACGTGCCATCGTGCCAGGCCATAGGTGGGCCAAGCCCAATTTACACCTCTAGCTACCTTACAGGTGGTCGGGTCTTTCTGGTACGATCAAACATTGGGCAAGTTTAGATCACCAAGGAGCTTCATGATTGACCCAGGACATGTGGCAGCATGGGATTGGTCTGCCTATATGGGCCTTATCAGGCTTAGTAAGGCTTTGGGCCTATATATAACATATTATGTACATAACACATGTAAAAAATGCATATTGTATATATTATAACGTAAAGTATTATATATAACATATATTATATGTCATATTATAATATTATATATAATATGATATAATACAGGCCAAGCCTAAAGTAATAGGATCTATCACAACTAGAAATTCGTTGGTTTACTAAAACTTATCACTAAAACATCTATGGCTCAGTTTGGTAGGAATACAAATAAAAATATATACTGTACATATACATACAAAATAATATAAAATACAAGGTTTTGCATTCTAAAAATTTATATTCGTATTCCTTCCAAACTGAGCCTACATAATTTAGATTTCTAAACCTTTATTTGTACCACGCATGTATATTTGTATTTATACATTTTTCAAATGCAGCCTTATTTTCATACTTCACTTGCACTGTTGGGTTTATTGATTTGGTGTAAAAACAAAAGCATAATTGAAGGAATCCAACAGAATTTTCAATTATCATATTTTCGGTTCCAAAGCTTCATCATATATTTGGAAAATGCACAATATATTGAACTATTGAAGTTTAGGCATTTTTTCCCTGGTGGTATGTTTAATTTGATAGAAAATAAAAGACAAACAAGAAGGTCGAGGGAAAGTTCTAAGAAAAAAAAAATATAGAATGTAACCCCATCCAAACAAGTATTGAAGCTCATGACCATGTAAAGACAAAGTCAACACAATAACGATCCATTCTCCACTTCCGATGTAATTAGTTTGAGAGTGCTTATTCTAATAAGAATTCATCGACATTTGGTGAAAAAGCACTTATTTCAAATATGGTAGTATGGGTATTTTAAAATAATATGGCGGGCCAAAACAGGTCAGAAAGGTAGTAATCACTTAAAAAAATCTAAAATTTAGACTTCTCGGAATAAATATTTATTCGAGCTTATTTTATAAAATAAGTGCTTAATTATTGGTGTAAGTCCGGCCTAATAAAAGTATTTATTTGAATAAACAACTTATTTTTAAGCACTCCCAAACCTAGCCATTATCTGTATTTTCAATTCAAATGCAAATAAGAGTAACATCTTATAACAAAAGAGGAGGAAAGTTATATAACAACACAAAGGCAACCAACAACAAAACTAAAATACTTGGTTTCCTTTCTCCAAGCTAATCAACCAGATTACTCTACTAATTAAACTTATTGAACAACAGAGTTAGCGCACCATCCAACAATTCCAGGAATACATAGGATGTGCACAAAACCTACAGCTTATGCTTATTCATTTATTCATTTATTTGGTATGTGAGACTGGAGATTGGAGAAAGAACGACAACAGTAGTAGGTGCAACTCTTTTAATTAGTAAGGTAGCTCCCCCACGACGTTGCCTGCTGGGTCGTAGTTGCAAATGACGAAGGTCCCTCCGTTGTTGCACTGCACTGTAGCACACCCAACACGAAGCGAGTTTCTCCACACCACCTGCGTGTAGTGACCGCACACTTGTCCATCACTGCAACTGTTGGTGCTGTAATCGTAGTATTGTTTTTCTCCGACCCATAGGTTCACAGCACCGGTCCCCGACAGGGAACCAGAGCTTCCGGCGAGGTTCTCTCCATAGGGTCCACCGGAATGCATCAGAGTGCAGTCTTCGACTCTCTGATCAGCGTAGTTTTGGGCATAGGCTGCCAGTTTGTCGTTCCATATCAATGCATCCACGCCCACCTCTGCTCGGGCAGTGTTGTGGGCGTCGAGGTAATCCTGCGGGGAATCTTGGGCTCTGGATACGTGGACTAAGCCTAGGCCCATGATCAGAATGAACAGTGATATTTCAAGCCTGCAGAATGCCATCATCACTATGATCTGCAACTCTTCTCAATATCGGAGATACACTTAGCTTGATACAGAAGATGTTACAAACGGTTAGGGGTGTTTATTTATAGCCCAGAAACACAATAAAATATCAACTTGGTAGATGCAGAAATTCGTGCAATACTGCGAGTTGGACGAAGTCTTCTTTTATTTTCTTTTCATTTCCTGCGGCGTAAGCTTAGCTGTAGAAGCTGCCCCGGCCCTAACATTTTTATACTTTACTCTTGCATAATTTATGTAAGTTCGTGCAAGACTTCATCAATAGTCATGCATTAAGTTGACTTTATCAATCAATAGGGGTCGATTCGCTGATCTCAATATGCGATTTTTTGTGTAATCATAAGTTTCGAGTTCAAATGTGAGTCAAACTTCATATAAAAAATAAAAAAAATTATATATATATATATATAATTTTGTGAATTTCACGAGCCAAGTTTTATTTGACTCAAGCTCAATTTGAAGTTTGATTTATACTGTATCAATTCATGTTTTTTATAACCTATTTTCGAATAATTCATGAATAGCTCGATTCGTACCCATTTTTTTCCTAGTTTATACCTACCGTACTTCAATTGATTGTGACCAGTGGTTGTTAAGTAAACACCAATAGTCAGGATTAATAAAAATAAGCACCGTCTATTTAATTTGAATTTTAAGAATTAAAAAGCTTCCATTTTCATGGCAATATTAGAAATAAAAGCAGGTTCAGTTTGAAAGGAATACAAATACACATATGTACAATACTAATGTATACAAAATAATATAAAATATAAGGTTTTATACTTTATATATTTGTATTTGTACTTTTTTCTTAGACTTAGTTTGGAAAAAATACAAATACAGATATATACGGTGCAAATGCAAACAAAATAATACAGAATATGAGGTTTTGCACTCTACATATTTGTATTTGTGATCTTTTCAAACTGAACTCAATTTGGAAGGAGTACAAAAATATGTAGAGTGCAAACCTTGTATTTTCTATTATTTTATATGTATTTGCATTTGTACTATTTCCAAACTGAGCCTTATAGGCTGTATTTGGAAACGATGCAAATATGTAGAGTGTAAAATGGTTCATATAAGGCTCAGCTTGGAAGGAGTACAAATGCAAATTTGTAGAGTGCAAAACCTTGTATTTTGTATATATTTGCACTGTACATATTTGTATTTGTACTCCTTCTAATGAGCCTAAATTGCAAAGTTGGGTTAGTTTTGCATTGACAAATTTATCATCTTACCAAACAGACTTTTAATGTAATGAATGCAAGCATGAATTCCAATAAAGCATATGTTTTTTTTTTTATCAAAAGCCCATTTGAATGTAAATTTATTTCTTTTTTATTGATGTACTTTTACATCTTATTATCAATGTAAATATACATTAATTTGTTATTTTTCAATCCAAAATGTAATATTGTCAAACATAGACAAAAATGAATAAGAGTACAAGTTTACCCTAAATCAGATTTACACTCTATTTACACCATTTCCAAACGCAGCCTTAATAGCAAACCACAAAAATAAAAAATCCTAAAGCATATCCAAACATCAAATTTAAAGTGTTAAAGTCGTGTTTAATTGTATAAACAAAACAACATTCTTGTAGACTCCTCGGGATCTGGTCGGGAGCCAGAACTCTGTTTCCTTCCTGAGTCGGGTCTAGCTACCGGCCTGATGTGGTCCAGACCTAACCTATTTAGTTTTTTACACGTCTTCTTTCTATATTTTCTTATATATTCAAAGTCTATGTCTAAGCATGTTCATAACAAGTAAACTTGGTACTTTTATTTATGGTTCTTTTACGTATTAGATTGAATAACTTTATCGAAAAAAAAATCATGTGGTATTAATTCATCTAAAAAGTAAGAATAGTCAAAATAACTAGAATATTGATTTATATTTTGTATGACCCCCTAAAATGAAACAATTTAACGTATAGTTTTTACAATTTAGAGCACAATTCACCATTTTTAAATATAGTTGACCCTTTGCATTGAAGTCATGATAATTCGAGTGGATATCTCATGCCCATATTAATTAATAGCGTGCCAAATGCCAATTGGTTGACTTTTAAATGCCATCCTATCAAGATAAGCGTCAGGCCCCAACCAGACTTCCAAACCCGACATCCATTGACATCCCCAACCCAAGTGAAGATGATGCAACATCGTCTCTATCTATGCATTAACGCAGGTGCCCCACAAGAATCAATAGGCGATGGTCTATGTTTGATTTGATAAAAAGTAAGAGATATACAGAAAGTTGATGGAAAGCTCTTGATCTTGTAAAATTTATTAAAATTTCCCGTGGATTTTCTATTTTCTCTCAAATCAAATTAAATACAGCTTTAACATAGTAATGTAAAAAATTTTATTCTAGAAACAATAACTAAGATCGTGTTGGGTACCATTGCCGCTTCTATCTTAGTTAATACAAATTTGTGAGAGGATATTTTCTTTACCACAAATGTTTTGAATCTATCAATACAACCCTACTAGTGTATCGGGTGTAATTGAGCAATTGCATGTCACATACTTCTGATTTTTCACTTGTAATTAGATCTATTACGTTGTTCCTTTCTTATCATACTCATTAGCAGGGTTTTATAAATCGATTGGAAATGGAATCATTTTAGCTACTGATTTTCGGATCAGTGGTTCGACCGATCAGATCAAACGGTTTGCATTAGGGAAAATTTGAGAAAGGAGAATTGGAGAAGGGATGTTGTTGGCTGAGAAAGAAAACAAGAAAGAAGAAAAGAAGGAAAGAAAGAAAGGAAGGAAGGAGAAAGGAAAAAAGAAAATAAGAGAAATGAAAGGAAGGAGGGAAGAAAAAGGAGGAGGGAAGGAGGGAAGGAGGGAAGAAGAAAGAAAAGGAGGAGGATGATTCGACGCTCACCACGATGGTGACGGCAAGGCGGCGACAACAAAACATATCTAAGATATGAGATATGAGTTCTCCAAGGCGGGTCAGTAGTTTTTGTCCCAGAAACGGGTTAGGGGTGAAATGGAACCGGTTACTTGAATGGTTTCTGGACTGAACGGTCTGACCATCTGAGTCGACAACGACTCAAAAACATTGCTCATTAGTATAAAATTCATATTAGTCGCAACACTTCCTTATGACCCTTAATGGAAATTAAAAAATAAAAAAAAAAATAGATCACATCACATGATGGTCATAATTGATGGCACGGCTCGGTTGGTAGGATCTATGACTTATTATAATAAAGGCCTAGGATATCAAATCCTAATGCCACTTGGGTTGAGGGTTAAGAGGATGGGGCCACTTCATCAATTAAATTAGCCTAACGCAACAAGCAATGAGCCACTTTGTTAGCGGTCCTCCTAACTAAAGATACCAAGATAGAAGGAAGGCATGAATAATAGCTTCTGCAGTTAGCAATTATAGAGCTGATTTGCCATGGTGGTTGTACCGTGTATGAAGCATAGCCTTCTATAACCAATTGCTGAAGATTTAATTCCATTGCAAATTCCAATCCATAGAGGAAAGCCTAAGCTTTCGCTTCAAGTGATGTTCATGGAGACAGGGGAATTGCTCGTGAAAACAAGTGAAAACCATTATGGTCACGGAGCACAATACCAACACCAACAACCTCAGTGCTAGTAGCTCCATCTACATTAATTTTTATGCACTTATGGGGAGGTTTAATCTATTGACTTGAGGCACTTTCAGGCTACTCCCGTTCGACCAGTGGAGGAGATGATTTTCAGCTTGACTGAAGTATAAAGTTGATATAGGCTTGCACTCTGAGAAGAACCGACAAGGTACTAAATGATCAATTACAACTCCTCTGTGAATGGTCTGACCAGGAAATCCAAGTAGTGTTAATGTTGGGGCTGTTATCACCTTTTTAATTTTACAAAAGTTTTCAATGATGGATTATTGGATCATTAAAGGACCCTTTTGCCTCTTTGATTAAATTTTCATCCAGAGCTGCTATTATGAGGAAAGATATCTTTGTAAGGAAATAATGCAATGTTATTGAAAATAGTTAATCTTTATTTTAGTAATTTATTATAAAAATAATTTAGTAATTTGGATTAATTATATTATTAGTTTTTAAAAAATGATTAATTATTTTAAACAATATTGCATTTCTTCCTTAAAAAAGTTGAGAAATTGAGAAGAAGAAAAAGGAGAACTAATTAAAAATTGAGGTGTAAAAATATTAATTTATGCTTTGTACAACCACCTAAAATTAAACCGTTTCATTGTAATTTTGCATTTTAGAGCACAAGTTGGTTATTTTTATGGCAAATGCTAGAATGTGAAAACCAATATTTTTATATCTGTATTATTATAAAGCATATAATTGCCTTAGTTTTTGTGTAGGTCATAAAAGTTAAGCTGATTTTTATATCAACTTATATATTTTCCCCTTACAGCTTTAATTGCACACATGCATATCATCTTCACTTTAGTTCTAAGAAAGTCAAATTGAGATTTTTGCCCACACAAACCCCATTGTATTGGCATGCATGCTACTTTACCCTTATCTTATTTTATGACTTTAGGCTCAGTTTTGCAGTCTACATATTTGTATTGTATTGGTACTCCTTCCAAATTGAGCCTTAGCTCCCATTATTTCACACACTACTGGTTGTAAAAATAGAGACAGAGGAAGACAAAGACAAAGACAAAACTTCGTTGTTTGTTGCTAGAAAGGGGGGGGGGGGGCAGATCTACACAACCATTATGGTCAGTTCGTTCAGCACGAAGAAAGAAAATGTGTGTCAACCAAAGTGTTGTTTCAATTAGGGGTGTCAATTGGATTGGATTTAGTCCAATCTGATCCAGTCCAATGTGAGTCCATTATAAATGGATCAGTTCCAATCCAATCCAATGAATTTTTTGGACCAATTTGGACCGGTCCTATTCAATGTCTAGACCATCCAATCTGTTCAAATTCATTTTGATTTAGATTGGTTTCAACCCAAACCCGGTCCATTGACACATATATTCTTATCTTATATCAATAGATCAGATATTGGCT